GCAAATGGGCCATATCTGCAGTTTTGCTAAAGAACACGAAGGAGTATACTGACCGGTAATATAGTATTGGCACCGTATTTTTCCTCTGAGACGAGAACTCATAGGTTATTAAAACTTCTTTGCAGATTTCGCGCAAGAAACCTTCTAGTTTGAGCAAGCGTAAGCAAACGCATTATCAAATGAGGCAAAACGTTAACTTTGGAGGCGCTATCAGGTCGATTGTATCAGCATCAACATTTTAACCGCCGTGAATTTGATCATTCGATAGCTGATCATCTTCAATGAACTTTTTATTCTTTCGATGATGCCAATTCCTCAGTAATGATCTGTTATAAAATGTGAAAAAAGTGTTTCTCGGATTAAGACGGGATTGTAGTCCCTGTGTCCCTGTATATATTCTAAATATGGCGGCGCTACCACAGCCAGGCCCTCCACTATTCCGTCGACACGGTAAAACTATGTTGCTGCTTCTTAATTAATTTATTCTTCTTACTTAAAAAATCCCGCTGAGCATGCATGCATGTACTGGTTCGCTTAATATAATGCGAGAAGTAGGCCTCTGGCACTTCCCCCCTTTCGTATAGCCGATAGTAACTTTTCACGAAGTGTAGAGGTCATCAACACTGAGTTCTTATGAATACTTGATAATGGATAAAACAGGCATAACACCATCGCACGGAATCGAAAACAATTACACATTTGTCAAAAAATCAGTACGCTTAATCCGATGCCATTTAATAGATATGCGTCATGCAATGTAACTTATCGATGCTGCTAAATTATCCATTGTATTTTACGATTGAAGCTACATTAGCCCAAAAACGACTTTCGATATGCCTGTCAAATTCGCTAGGATGCGATAACATCAGATTTTTCATCTTCTTACTAACATTGTATATCCACCACACGCCTCTTCACTGTAACAAATGCACCTGTTGCAGCGCAATGCCGCTTTGCGAAGGTAATGTTTCCCTAAACGATATTGGTCATTTACACGCTTTCAGTGATTGGTGTCCAAAAACTGTTCAATGCCTACATAGAACTATAGCGAGAAGCGCCCTCTCGTTTATCGATTCAATTGTCATACAAATAAGATTGCCTCACCACCAGAGGCAGCAAAGTACGCAGAATGTGTACTGAAACCAATTTATATCAAGAGAAAAGCAAATATTATTGACGGTGCTGGAATCAGCATAGCGACCCACCACTGCTAAAAACGAGATTATAAACGGGATAGATTGTTGCTGTGAGTCGCTTAAGCATTGTATCTACGAATCGCGTCCTTATTTATCGACAAACGGTCAACTCGAATGTCGCACTATACCTTGGCGACCAGCATTACATGTACAGTCGTATTGACTTGTATTTCAGTATCGTCTTCATTCCTGCAACATTTTTGAACCTGCTGAGATAATTCTTACCATTAACGCATAAAGAAGTTCATCGGTTTAGATCATTGTCTATGCATTCTTTTTAAGGAGGCAAAACATCCCAGGTTGGTGTGATACAATTTCGGTCTAGTATTCTAATTTATGGCCACAAATTTTGCTTAGTCTAGCGTATTCAGGTTTAAACATTATTGATAGGTGTTGACGGGACCAACCGCATTAAATGCACAATAGTTGAAATAAAATATTCATTTAATTTGTTGGCTGTGTTACATCTCGCAAGGAGCCGTATTTTTCGGGCATAAGCGTACACAAGAAGATTACCCTGCTTAAGTTTCAAGATATCTATCCGAGCCTGACAAAAGCTCGTGGAAGCAGAAACGTTGGTTTAAGGTCTGGTGTTATCGACCTCTCCCGACCTATATCATAGGGCCCGAGATTAAAACCTAAATTATAGTTTGGAAAATCCAGTATGACTGGGCGAAGGTGACGACCATCTCTTTACTAGCTGTACAACGAGCTAAAGGCGCTGCCCAAATGGCAACTATGTCACCAAAATGTTTTCTTATACGGTTAAAGATGATAATTAAAAATATTTTGGAGTTTAATTTGCTGCGTCGACTCGGGAGAAGCAGTCTGGGCATGATGCTGTATCATCATATATAAACGGTAAAGCACGCGTTTTCCCAACATGTCTTCCTGATCGAAAAACCTTGCTAATGAAGCAAGTACTTTAAAATACGCCTCATCAATCCATGCTGAATGAACTTGGTGATCGCTGCATGCCGTTCTTTCCTAAAAGAGTGAACAGTAGGAAGATGATAAAGGAACTGCATATGGTTCGGCACATACGTATGAAGGCCTTCCATCCGTAGTCGCTATATATATTTATTACAAACACGGCGTGCAGACTACTAAAACATTTTACGATGGGGTGGGGTGATCGCACGACTCGCGTGACCCCAACTCTCTAGAGGCTTCAAGAAACACAACTTTCAGAGGGGGTACTACATCTCAGTGGGTGTTTCCTTCCTGACCTTGTGTACCCGTCAGTAGTGCGGGCTGCACCCTTCCGGGTGGACTCATGTCGAGGAAACACTTAAGCGTGTTTGAGATGGGGCTAATATTACATGAAAATCTTCACACGACCACGGATGTACTTTAGGGTGCTTGATATTGAAAAACCCCGATCTTAATGAGATCACCTTGGCCAAAGTTGGTGCTTCATTTTCGAGCTCTCAGACCACTTACGTTGTCTCGAAATCTTACACACTGCGTGTAATTGCAGCTGAAGGTGGATGGAGATATCTTGCAATCCTGTCCAAATAATCTAGAAGTGATCTCTGGAGTGTTCGATTGATCAACCTTTTCAGACTTCGGGAGGCCAAACACTCTTTCCCGAAAGGAGGAATACACTTGCGTTAGAAGAAGTGGGGAGATTTCTAATTAATGTAATCCAACCAAATTAAAAACCCCTGACCAAGCCTATTCTGTCTGTAATGATAGAACACTACGTGCTTACTTGCGCTGTCGAGATGTAATCTTCCATCTTATCCGGTGGTTCACTCCAGAGTACCGTGATCCTAACATACACAGATCGCTGTGTTCGAGATCGCGTCACCCAAGATCTCGTCGGCTAAGATCACAATATCCAAGATCGCAACAACAATACCGCATCATCCGAGATTGCGTTGCACGCTATCGCGGTGTAAGGTTTACCTCATTTTGTGGATCACACCTACAGCAAAACACGTACTTAGTCGCAGCGCGATCTGTGGTCCACACTTCTCGATTTGCTCCATTAAATACTCACCTACGCCCACAGAAGAACTCGACGAAGAATTGTGTGTATTGAGTTTTGATGGGTTGGCCTGTTTGAAACAAGGAGGGTCCTAAAGCTCCATATAAGCCCACCCTTGACCAAGTCGATCGAGTGGCCACCTACTGGCCCACCAATTGAAGCATATCCGCTCGGGGCCCCCAGGTCTCCCTTTTTCAAGGTCGATCCCTACATTCTCACATGAAGTCTTCCGAGGAGCACGAATCGCCATCGACGGGTCCACAACGTGAGTCAAGATCCATACGCGGCGTCGGGTAACCCTCCGTAAGTCGACTGTCCGGCACAGTGAGTGGTTTGGAGGCTCATCACACAGTTTTGAGAGCCCACTTCACCACAAAGTGCTACCCTGTGTAACGAGGCATCACGCTTATTGTAACGGGGCACACCCTTGCGTGAACATAACGCAAGGGTTTTGGGTGCCCCGACAGACGTACACGTGGCAAGCGAGGAAGCGTAGGTAGGGTAAAAGTAGAACTGATATATTAATATAATCAAGTCTTTTAACTACTGTCTCTCTGTTTGACTTAGCTCAACTACACTAATATAACTGGATGTATGGTGACGTCTCGTCACCACTCATTGCGCACGTCTTGCGGCGATTGGTGGGTTGATATCATCACGATGTCAACCAATGAACAGACCCATTAATCGCTTCACCAATATCACCACTTTAATGATATTGTTTAAAGAATATCCATCTTTATATTCTTTATTGTCACTTTCCTTAAAGTGACAATTTCATGTAACGGGCTGCCCCGTTTCACTTATCCTACACACAAAATAGGCTTATCTACACTGAAACCCCAGTTGAAGCGAGTTCCACGTAACCTCCTCCGTGCATATACTTGTGTAAGAAACGAGGAGGATCACGACAACACGTATGTCTAATGTAATGAGAGAACCATATGTATAACACAGTTCAGCTACTCATTAAACATGCTCATGGCCTCTATTCCAATGCCTCAATGCAAACATGAGCTGTAACTATCTGCTCAGCACTATTACGTGCAAACATGAGCTGGATCCATCTACTTACCACTATTGCACGCGTCCATCAGCGATTTTGCGCTTTGTTGGTTGACATAAAACAGCGTGTTTCATTTAATCATCAGAAGTCACTGAACGTTACGTTTGTAAAAGATATCTGCGAATACCGTGTGTCCGCTAAGAACCTATTCGCATTGACATTAGTTTTTCTCAATGTCATGTCACGGGCTCACTCCCGTCATCCGTGGCATGCACCACGTTATACTTAGCTTTTGTCTTTTGCCGCGAAATGCAGCTTGCTTTGCAAAGCCGAGGTAAACGCGCGCGATAGCGAGTCACAAACTCTTTGAATTGGGCAGGATCTCGTACGTTTCCACATACATTTCTCCCGACACCAAGCGATTTGGCCCGCAGCGACGTGACGCAGTCGAGAGTAGATGCTGTTTCAGCAGAGTAGACAGGTGCACATACGTACGTACCACCATCCGATCTGCCAACAGCCTTTTCTCATATATGACCCCGCGACATTGGCGTTGGCAGTCGAAAGCCTTCGGGAAAAAGCTCTCGAAAACACCATTGCGATACTTTCAACTAGTACAGTGAACATGAGATTCCCCACTTTGCCGTCGATCGCGACCAATTGCTACAACAAATCGCGATAGCTCGTTACTGTCAAAGTGAAAGGTCTCCCGCTTTTAATATCCGCTGCAGACGGAGATTGTCAAGTGCTCCCGATTGGCGCCGAGCGTTCGTTCCAAGTCCGCAGCCGCACGTCCGTAGGTGACATGAAGCGCCGCGCGTCGCCGCCGATAAGTGCCTTCTTCCAGCGCAAACAGACCCGACGCATCAGCGTCGAGTCCCTCAGCAGCGAAAGCGACCGAGACGGGAGCACCAGTAGCACTGTGCAATTAACCGACACGGACGACTCAGCACACAGGATGACCGATCCCGTGCCGCAGCCTCTGCACCCGACGTCAGTCATCGATCGACGTGCCCCGTCTCGCCGAAGTGCTCGCGAAGATGTGATGGGTATTCTCCAGTATCGAGAGCTGGACGGAGGTGTCGCGATGCGGCCGGAAGTTTGCAGTGTCCAGCGATCACGACGACGACGGAAGCAGCTGCTGGTGCGCTGGGCGCTCACGCACTTCCAGAGACTGCCCGTGTCGCTTCGCTTGGGTCCGCATTGGGAGCGGCAGGCAGGCAATCTAAGCTCCGAGACGTTTTACGTCAGTTGTCTAGAGTTTGATAGCCAGGGCGTCTTGCTCGTTGCGGGGGCGTCGAATGGGGTCATTGCTCTCTACGACTTTGATGACGCGTTTCATCGCACATTAAACGTCGGTCAAAGAATGCAGAGAAAAGAAGGAAATGGATCGGACAAAGGGAAAGACGACGACGATGAAGGAGATGAAGAGATGAGGACAGACAGGACGCTGCATCCGGTACGCGTTACCAAAGGTGCTTGGGCTGGCACTTTTGTTGACTAGCGCTTGAGTTGCAGATCCACACGATCTTTACACCATTTGAAGTCAAATCCATTCGCTGGAACTCCTTCAATGAGGTTTGTGAGTGATTCAATTGCTTTGGGCCACTGCTGTGATGACTAACTCTGGCCTTCGTATACTGAATATTGATTTTTCGTGGCGGCCAGGACGAGATTGCATGCTCCTTTACGAATCGCAACGAGATTCATGTCTTCAATCTGGACAAATTTCCAAGCGAACCGTACAAAGTATTGAAAAGCTCAAACCACCCTTCAAGCGGCTACAATGATCTCTTGTTTCTGCCTGCTTATGGGATGACACGGCGACCGACGGTGGCTTGTATAATTGCTGGAGATGTAGACGGAGCTATCCGAATGTGGGATCCTCGAGTTCCCCTGCGACCAGTATGGAGTTTTCACACAGGATCACCGGTAACGCCGATTAACTCGCTGCTACTGTCGGAAAACAAGCAGTTTCTCATCTGCGGTAACGAAGCTGGAGTGCTCATGGTACGGTCCGCGCAACCTTTGCATACCCTGTCCTGTGTGTTGATTGGCTTTGCTTGCAGACGTACGATATCCAGCACAAGATCGTCCCTGCGTTCGGTTCAAAGCCCATACCGCAACGAAAAGCAGCAGTCAACGTGATGGAGGCAATAAAACGTGAGAACTGTTCTTCGGTGCAAGCACTAAATGTTGTCAGTGTAACGTCACTAACGTCGTGTTGTTACGTGCACTTTGACCAGCATATTTATCGCCTGCTCTGATCGATGCTGTCCTCCTCACTAGTCGATGTGGGTCCTCTGGAATAATGGCACTACATCTGATGCCGAACTCTAAGACACAAGTGCTGTGCCAGATGCGCAACGATTGGGTAATTGTTATCGATTACCTTCTTGGCTCTGTAATCAAGCTCCACACGTTCCTTCGAGGTATGCACAACTGCAAGAGCCAACCGCTCGGAACAGCAAAGGTGCTCTTTCTTAGCTCACAACTGATGTATGATCGCATGTGATCTTGACAGGAGTAACGCCACGAGACATATTGAAGGGTGATGCGCCTCCATCCGTGCTCTCCGCAGCTTTACGAAACGACGACCAAGGCAATTTCCAGCCGCGTACACTCCGCAATTCGTGGCTCTCGTGCCATCGTTGCAAAGGTGCATTCTTGTTTGACAAGTCAATCATGTGCACGGGTATCCACGACACCACAAGTTTGAACATGATTGACCTGCACCATTTGCGGCGCAATAAATCAGACGCGAATGGTGATGCTGCGGCGAAAATTGGAGCAAATACCGAAGTACCGATTGCCGAACGGCTCGATCGATTTCGAATCCCCATGAGCAGCGTCATTACCGCAGTGGCCGCGCATCCAAATCAGCATTCGGTAATCTGCGGAGGCGAAAACATGACCCTGCAGATTATGAGTGTGGTTGGCAACTAAAAGAAACGACAGCAAGAAACAACGCCTGATACGCGTAGTGGAGTGCTATTGCTGCTGGTGCCTTGATCGGTTCAAGCTGTAATTGTCTTTTGGTCACAACAGCCGAGTCGCAGTCTATCTATCATCTGTCTGCAACACCAGCTGTCTCGAATCATCTGACGAATTTACTCCGCTGATCGTTGTTGACTCCCCAAGAAGCATCAGTTCGATGTATCTCCATGGAAGGCGAGGGGCGTCGGCTGTAAGGTTCAGCCAATGGACGGACATCGATCGTGCGGGAGTGTTCGGAAGGCGCGGAGCATGGATTGACCCGACCTTCGTGGCAGAGTGGAGCCCGTCGACAGAGACCTGTCTGGATTCGCAAGTTCTCTGAAACGAAGTCAAGCCTAAACATTTTAGACACAGCGTCACGAAACAGACGGCAGCCTTGCTGAAGCTTCTCCGTCTCGCGATTGCTCATGCGGGTGGTTCGGTCTGACAAGGAGCACTTGTGTCAAGCGAGACAGGAAACTACTACATCGCAACGCGGCTTTGCTGTCATTGGGAATCTCAATCCCGCGCAGTCCGTTGAACGCGACGAAGGACGTTGAAGCAGACTGTACTTTTTTCGTCAGTGAAATCATGCGCTGTAAAAGAATTGCAGATCAAGAGAGTGTGAGCGTGTTGATGAGCAATGGCAACCAAACGTGCTCAGCTCCTCGTTCCGATCTCGTCCAACAGCCATCAGAGTACGTGGTTCGCGTATGAAAGTATCTACCTCAGCTCTTGCGGCTGTGGTCGAAAGGATCATCTGACATCAAGAAAGAAAGTCCATACATTTGTGCCCACTTCTTGCGACATGTGTGTTCGAGCGAAGCACTGCTGCTTGACAGACCTTGACGCAATTCCATCAGTGGTTGGCCTCCGTTGGAGACTCTGTACACCACGTCCAAAGTCATCGGCTCAGTAGTAGCTGCTGCAGCAATGCATCATGTTCAGTCAGCTTTGACGTGACAGAAAGCGGTCTAACGTCTATTTGCTGAGCGAGGCCATTCACACGTACTGGATTTTGTGATCGCGATAGCTTCGAGCTTGTTCAGCCGTTCGCCGTGCATGAGTGAGTACTCGATCGAATGATGGGGAGGCTTCGCCATCAGTCCCGAGTCTTTCGGCTGGACGATGGAACTGGATGAAACCTCTCCTACGCGCTGCATAATTCACCACCACTTTTGCCTCTTCCTCGTCCTAGGAGTCCGTTCGGGTTGCCGATACACACTTCTCACATGCCGCTCGGCCGTTTACGTGGCGCCTTCTTGTCGAGACACACAAATGCCAACGTCGGTCAACGCTCCTGTTCTTCTGCGACCGCAACGACAATGGCGACCACCTCGTCGACGCATCCTCCTGAGCCGTGGAGCTCCACTCACCCAGATTTCACGAGTCTCCGATTCTTCATTTGGACCGGAGGAGACGTTGGATTCACGCTGACATCAGTCAACCCCTCGGAGAGTGAAGCTTGCTCACTTACCTTTGGCGAAGACGACGAGCTTCGAGTGGGTACTGTCACAGCTATGAAGGTCTGGGAAGCTGGCGTTCGTTCAGGTGACATTTTGGAGACCGTGTCTGGCAAGCGCGTGCACACGATGGATCCTGAAGCGGCGTTGGTGTTGGTGCAGATGTCCAAGAGGCCGTCTATCGTCCGATTTCGGTCACCAACAAGCGGGCCACGTGAGCGCTTTGATATGCTGCTCCGCCACCAGAAGCTCGGAGTGTTCTTCACAGGAGACAGCTGTCACGATATTCCAGTTGTAACTCGAACTAGCCGTCGATCGAACTTGCGAACCTCTGATCCTGATGTGGTCCCGCCTTTGGAGGCCCGCCCTGGTGACGTACTCGTGGCGGTCAATGGTAAAGACACGATCGCAGATGGACTAAATGCGACGTCGAAGTACCTGGAAACGTGCCCACGGCCACTCACGTTTACTTTTGAACGCTTCAGAAACAATGGGGGGTTAGATCACCAAGCTGCAAGCACAGACTCGGCAGAGCACCGGTTGGCGTCTTCCTCTTTTCACCGAACGATCTCATGTGCAGCAGTGTCTGCTTTAGCTGCTCGAGAAACGGCGAGTCTTCGTTGTAAAGCCTTTATGCAGACACTAATGCCAAAGAATGAGCCTTCGACTCTATCCCCAGTACATCGAGACGCTGGACATTGTCTTCGAACGCGTGGTGCTCGCAATGACGTCGTGATTGAATGGAAAAGAGGGCCTCTGGGGTTGACGCTGCTAGAAGACGCAATTTCAGGAGTACCTGTCGTCAACCGGTTGACTGGAAAAGGCTTGTCAGCTAACATGGAACGCTTGCAGCACGGATTCCAGCTCTCCTCGATCAACGGTGTCCAAGTCGAAGCTTGCTCGCTCGACGACCTCTGCCAGGACCTGTTGACACTGCCAAAGCCCGTGACACTCGTCTTTCGTCCTCTGCTATCCAATGCCGCCAGCGACGACAGCAGCGAGTCTCAGTGCAGCGTCATCTCTACGTCGTCATCGGCCAGCCCAGACGTCCCAGGTTCAGACGGGATCGAGCTTCATGGAGACGCCCACCAAACACTGGCCACGACCTCAGCAGCGCCGCATCGGTGTCCCGACCCAGCGTCGTCCGCACGCGAGCAGTACGAGTACGAGGTCGTCTGGACATCGACGCGGCTTGGACTGAAACTAGACATGCCGTACGACAGCGAACGCCAGTCAGCGTCAAAGGACAAGACGAACGGAATGTCGACCCGACGTCGGTACCCGATCGTCCACCAGATCCTCAAGGAGTCCACGCTCGGTCTGCCGCCTGACGCTGTAGGACACTCGTTCGTGTCGATCAACAACTGGCGCACCTTTGGGCTGAAGGCAGAGGAACTGCGCACTCTTCTCGGAGCCGCGTCGAAACCCGCTGTGCTGCGCTTTCGCCGACGAGACGCTTTGTTGCGTTCTCAGCCGACGGGTCTGCCGACGTTGTTGCACACGGTCACCGCCACCACTGACGATGGGTCCACAGACGACCGAGAAGCGACATTCGGATCGGCGTATAGCATTCTCTGGAGCGAAGGAAAGTTAGGCATCGTCTTCGGCTGCTACGAAGACGCAAACAGCCACGACACGCTCGTGGTCTACGTGAAAAGCATCGGACCAGGACAAGCGCTGAAGTCCACACTCGTCGACGTGGGCGATATTCTCCACAGCATCGACGGTCGAGATCTCCCGCCCAAGCAAAACTTCAAAAAGGCAGTGCGAAAGCTGATCAATGCCAGCACCTCGCGGCCTGTGACGCTAGGGTTTCGTCGCACGTCGTGGAGTGCGCGATCCACCGGACGGCACACCCTTCGAGAGTCGTAACACTGGCGCAAGAGTCTTCTGTGGCGTGACATGGAGACGAGGTAGGGCAACATGGACCCGCGTGGCATTCATTCGCGTTTATAGGGCTGCGGTCGTTCTACTGTTCATTCCGACGCTTTATTTCGTGTCGTCCTTCTGTCTGTCTGTCTGTCTGTCTGTCTGTCTGTCTACTCGTCCTGTGTCTGTCTGTCCTGTGTCTGTCTGCCTCCCTGTCTTGATCGGCGTCTCTTTCGGCCATCGCGCACACTGACGATGGTCCTGTACTGCATGACGCCCCACGAAGCCCCACAAGCTCTGCCACGGCGTTTGTTCACGGCAGCGGCAGCGGTACTCGTGCTGCGTCTTGTAACACGGCGGTATTGGTCGGGCCCTCCGAGCTGCACACGAAGGGGTGAGGCTACACGGATAGTACATGTTGCTGGCTGTTCATCGCCTCAGGGCGACGTCGGTCAACCGATTCTGCACGTTGCGTCGCTTACCTCCGTGTGGATGAACGCGTGTGTCCACAGCAACATGTAAGCCCTGCACCCCACCATCGCGTTCTACCACTTCGGAGTGATTCGGTCCTTTGCGTTCCAGTGGAAGAGGATCACGTCTTCCTTCAGCTTCACCAGGTCGTTGTTGCACCTTGCGAGCGTGTGCACCGCGGAGCTGTTGATCTTCATTTCTGCTTGTAGCAGCCGCTGGGTCTCTACGATCTCGCCTTGAGAAATGGCTGGGATGTCGCTCACCGGTACGAATACCACCTCAGTCGTTGCATTCTCACGACCTTCTTGGTAGAACCCCAAGAGGTTCATGCTTACGTCAAAGGCCGGAAAGCCGATCGCGTTGCTGGCGTTCAGCGTGACCATGCGCGCCACGACGTAGAACACCTGCATCTCGATGGCATTGGCGATCTGGTTGCCAGTGGCATTGCGGCTGCTGTTACTGTTGCTACCAAGGTTCTGGTAAAACATCGGATCATTTGAGTCTTGGTCATCTAACGAGCGCATAAATTCTGAGAGCCCACCCGAGTTATTGCGGAATAAACCAGGAGGACCCTCAATTCCATTCAGGCCGCTCATAGTGTCCGACGTCGCCACGGCGATCCCCGACGAGCTGTTGTTCATCGAAAACTGGTTCGAAGAGGCAGTAGATCCCATAGTACCAGTATTCATCATCACAGCCGGGCTCATCATTTGCTGATTGGACGAAGCACTGTCCACAAGCGGATTTACGCTCAGCATCCCACCATTCTGTGGGCTTACAAGTGACGGCCCTCCGGCGTTCTGGTGTGACATGTGCCCCATTGGTTTCACTGCGGCTTTTTGAGCAGCGGCCTGCGCACTAGCAATCATTGCTGGAAACCGCTCGATTCCTTTCAGCACAAAGTCGAGGTGCCCCATGGTGTCCGTCGCATATGTGAGCAAAAGATTTGCAATCAGGCATTTCGTATCGTGCTGGGCCGTTTCGTATGTCATGACGTCTTTGTAGCGCCAGCACGCTGGACAGCGATAAATAGGTCGTTCCGGGTCGGCCGCACCGTCACTCTTGCTTTCGTATCCGACCGTCTGCCATTCCAATTGGTGGAGTCCGTTCACAACTCCGCCAGTCCAAGTTAAAATGCTTTCCATGGCACCAGTTAGCGAATTGCTCGATCGAGGACTGCCACCGACTCGTGGAGTACCAGGAGACGTGCTGCCTCCAGCGCGCATCCTTTTGCGCCGATCATCGGCTGTAAACGCAGCGGAGCCAAAAGCGCCAGCCAGCATCATCTCGTGGTCGGCGTTTGAAGCGGGCGACGACGTGGTCGACATCGGTGTCGACGCGCCGTTGATGATGTGATGTGTGATCTGCGCCGGGGCAATCTTGCCAGGTCGACGCTTGTTGCGCTTCGAGCGTACCGAGATGGACGAGCTCAGGTCGTAGGCCACGTCAAAGTTGAGCGGGGACTGCGCCGTGTCGGCTTCTACTTTGAGACGAAACGCTTGGCCCTGATGGTTCTTCGACACGTCTTCGATCCGCAGCTTGAGCACGGCCATGCCAGTGGCATCGATCGTGCGCTGGCAGTCGGGCGACATCTTGAGGATGTCCTGCTTCAGCACAGGGTGTTCACTCTCGTAGAGCAGCGTCACACGCAGTGGCACGGGGCGATTCCCCACGCGCTCGTTCTTGGCGTTGACGAGGTAAATGGGCAGCATCATGCACTTGTCCCGCCCGCCTTCGTCCTTGTACCAGAGCTCAGGCAGCTTCTCTTGAATCAGGAGCCGGTGCTGAATGACCGTCATCTCGGACGTCACGGCGGGCGTCACGTTCAGGTTCACCGTCTCTTTCGACGGCGCCGCCGAGATCTGGAGCACAAACTTGCGGTTGCCCAGCGCCATCGAGCACTCGCTGATGCTCAAGCGCAGGCGGCAGATGCCGTCGCCGTCCATCACGGGCTTTGTACTCGGGTCGAGGTGCAAAATGGCCTTCTCCACGGGCACCATCTTCTCGGCCGCGTAGAGCTCGACCTTGAGCGGCACAGTCACGCCCGACTTGAGGTGGTCGCTGGGGTCCACGAGGTACACAGTGAGGTCGAACGGGCCGTTTCGGTACGGGAACTTGGGCGGACTGGGCTGGATCTTGAGCCGTAGCCGCTCGTGGCTCGCAACGTCGACGGCGCTGTCCACGACGTGGGTATGGAGATTGCCATGGAGTGCACTGCCGTTCATGGCGGCGGCGGTGCTATTGGAGCTACTACTACTACTGCTGGTGGAGGTGGAGGTCGTGCTGTGGGGGACGCCGGAAGGGGCCGTGCACGCCCCTGCTCGAGTGTACGTCTCGGTCCTGAGCATGGAGACGAGAGGGGATAGGACGGGATGGGCGAGGGACGCGAAGGCGGCGGCGGCGGTCGAGCGAGATGCGGGCGCCCGGACGACGAGTGAGTGCGTGTCAAGCGACTTCAAGTTGCTGCGGTCGGTCGGGCGGGCGGGCGGTCGGTGGGTCGGTGGGTGGCCGACGGGTTGCGATCGGGGAAAAGGGGACTGCTCGTGTTCCGGCGCCGGGCGGTTGTTTTCGTCGCGACTTCGGCGCAGCGTTTTTGCTTGTGCGCAGCAGCCACGGAAAGGTGCGGGCGCGACCTGTGCTCGGTCATAGATTGAGCATGTTCGACGACAGGTGCTCGCGTCGGGCGGCGCCCATGGGGGCGAGAGAGAGGGAGGGGGCGGATTTGTTTGTATTCATTCGCACGGCCAGCGCGCTCGGGTTTCGATGGATATCTAGAACCGCCTGCTGCCTCTTTTTCCTTCGGCAAAAGCGAGCACAAGCCCTCCGAGTCTGCGATTGGGACACAGAAATAAGTGCCGCATATGTCCGTGAACAGAGGTCGATGGAGGCAGGCGAGCGCGTAAAACGTTCCGACTTGCAGGACTCTTTTCGCGCTTTTTATTGCCAGACAGAAGGTCTGAGCGCACGCCGCGTTTCATAGGAGGAATAAAGTGCTTGGGGACACGTCAGTTAGTCAGTCGCCCATTGTATCTGATAGACTGTCGACAGCCAACGAGAACCTTCAGCCAAAAAGGCTTCGGACGCAGCTGACTGAGACCGCCGTGCGTCGTCTTTGCGACCAGCAGACAGAGGTCTCGGCGATAGCCTAAATCAGAGGTAGACAACATCAGTGAGCTCGGCTTCGGTCAAATCGGCCAGGCGGTTGTTGCTCGTGCGAAAAAGTTTCCGCAGACTACGTACCGCCACTGTCGGAAATCGAAAGGTCGCCACGGGATCGGCGCAAGTTGCTGCGGAGCAGCTGTTGAGCACTTTCGGTCTTAAAGACTTCTTTATCGACACGAGCTCGACTACCATTCGCTCTCAGGTGCCTCCATGGGTCGCGCTCGATTCATTCTTCGTGCTCGGCTCCTGCCTACTAAAATCAAACGACAAGTGCGATTGCTGTGCAAGTGTTAAGGCGAAATAGTCACGGGAGCGTTCATCAGCTCGGTCAGGTGGACGACCTGAGGTGTACATGGCCAACTATGCCCAGACGTTGCGCGGTCATTTCGTGCGATCCTTCTGTCGATAATGTACCATCTAATCGCTAGGCCGGTAGCAGCCACATCGCTGAGCGGCTGCTGCAACGGCGGAGATGAAGAGCAACAGCTCCGCGGTGCACACGCTCGCAAGGTGCAACAACGACCTGGTGAAGCTGAAGGAAGACGTGATCCTCTTCCACTGGAACGCAAAGGACCGAATCACTCCGAAGTGGTAGAACACGATGGTGGGGTGCAGGGCTCACATGTTGCTGTGGACACACGCGTTCATCCACACGGAGGTAAGCGACGCAACGTGCAGAATCGGTTGACCGACGTCGCCCTGAGGCGATGAACAGCCAGCAACATGTACCATCCGTGTAGCCTCACCCCTTCGTGTGCAGCTCGGAGGGCCCGACCAATACCGCCGTGTTACAAGACGCAGCACGAGTACCGCTGCCGCTGCCGTGAACAAACGCCGTGGCAGAGCTTGTGGGGCTTCGTGGGGCGTCATGCAGTACAGGACCATCGTCAGTGTGCGCGATGGCCGAAAGAGACGCCGATCAAGACAGGGAGGCAGACAGACACAGGACAGACAGACACAGGACGAGTAACAGACAGACAGACAGACAGACAGACAGACAGAAGGACGACACGAAATAAAGCGTCGGAATGAACAGTAGAACGACCGCAGCCCTATAAACGCGAATGAATGCCACGCGGGTCCATGTTGCCCTACCTCGTCTCCATGTCACGCCACAGAAGACTCTTGCGCCAGTGTTACGACTCTCGAAGGGTGTGCCGTCCGGTGGATCGCGGACTCCACGACGTGCGACGAAACCCTAGCGTCACAGGCCGCGAGGTGCTGGCATTGATCAGCTTTCGCACTGCCTTTTTGAAGTTTTGCTTGGGCGGGAGATCTCGACCGTCGATGCTGTGGAGAATATCGCCCACGTCGACGAGTGTGGACTTCAGCGCTTGTCCTGGTCCGATGCTTTTCACGTAGACCACGAGCGTGTCGTGGCTGTTTGCGTCTTCGTAGCAGCCGAAGACGATGCCTAACTTTCCTTCGCTCCAGAGAATGCTATACGCCGATCCGAATGTCGCTTCTCGGTCGTCTGTGGACCCATCGTCAGTGGTGGCGGTGACCGTGTGCAACAACGTCGGCAGACCCGTCGGCTGAGAACGCAACAAAGCGTCTCGTCGGCGAAAGCGCAGCACAGCGGGTTTCGACGCGGCTCCGAGAAGAGTGCGCAGTTCCTCTGCCTTCAGCCCAAAGGTGCGCCAGTTGTTGATCGACACGAACGAGTGTCCTACAGCGTCAGGCGGCAGACCGAGCGTGGACTCCTTGAGGATCTGGTGGACGATCGGGTACCGACGTCGGGTCGACATTCCGTTCGTCTTGTCCTTTGACGCTGACTGGCGTTCGCTGTCGTACGGCATGTCTAGTTTCAGTCCAAGCCGCGTCGATGTCCAGACGACCTCGTACTCGTACTGCTCGCGTGCGGACGACGCTGGGTCGGGACACCGATGCGGCGCTGCTGAGGTCGTGGCCAGTGTTTGGTGGGCGTCTCCATGAAGCTCGATCCCGTCTGAACCTGGGACGTCTGGGCTGGCCGATGACGACGTAGAGATGACGCTGCACTGAGACTCGCTGCTGTCGTCGCTGGCGGCATTGGATAGCAGAGGACGAAAGACGAGTGTCACGGGCTTTGGCAGTGTCAACAGGTCCTGGCAGAGGTCGTCGAGCGAGCAAGCTTCGACTTGGACACCGTTGATCGAGGAGAGCTGGAATCCGTGATGGAGGGGTCCGTTGGGGTATAATGTGGTAGTACAATTAAATGTGAGTCTTAAATGTGAGTGGAATTCTGGGCTAGAAAACGCCGCTGCATGATTGTCATTGACTTGCAAGTGTAAGCTCGACATTGGGTATGTTGTTTGTGAGGTATTGTTTTTAATTCTCCCAATATAATCCAGTCCATTGCTATTACGTCGATATATGAATGAACATGGGATCCGTTAACGCATCAAAAGACGTCTCAGCCAAAACAATTAGTTTTGCACAAAATGCTGCTTTATTTCACAAGCTGTCAGAAGGAATAGATTGGTTGGACTTTTTTATCCGCTGCGCGTCGCATTTAGCTGAAGTGTGCGCCATGAAATCGACCCATCCATCCATCCATCCATCACACTTTTCTTCCGGCCGACACAATTGATCAGGTCGGCCCGTTGGATGAAGAAGATCCGCTTTTTCGAATTCGAGCGCCGCCACACCATAGCTTGATAAATGATACAATCTTTCGAATCAAAAACTCGATAGCATGCCAAGTCGCGAGGAGAACCGGAAGGCAGCAAAAGAGCTGCTCGCTCGCTGCGCCGAGGAGGGCGTAAAGGTCCCAACGGTGCGTGCGTGCGTGCGTCTGTAGCTTTCGCATGTATCCTGTACAGACGTTGCAGTGCCTTTGTATTGATCTGATACAGTGTTCGCCGTCGTACAGAACGCCGTCAATGCCGCCGTCGAAGCTGGTACAATGCTCAATGCCACGCGCGAACAGGTGAAGCAACAGAAGTAGCAGTCATTGATCACGAAAGTGTAGTCGATTTGAATCTCACGCATGATATGGAATGGCAGGACGAGTTTCGACTGGACGCAGCACTGCAGGTGGGCCATAAAGACTGTTGCATTGTCTCACCTCTATGGTATTGCTCACGCTCACCTTTTTTTACTATACAGGAAATGATCAAGAAGTTTGGAACGAAGAAGCCCGTATCTTCTAAGAAAGTGGTGGAGAAGGCAAAAACGAAGCGTCACGTCAGTGCGAAGACAGAGAGCAAGACAGCGACGCGGGGCAAAAAGCGCAAGAGCGATGACGTTGGAGACGAAGGTGAGGGGGACGAAGACGAGAAAAAAACGGTCAAGAAGCCCCGAAGTAAGGCCGAAGCTACATGCGAAGCGAACCAGAAGCTGGCTGACGCGTTTGCAGAGCTTTCGGGCTTTGAGTTCAAGCGCGGGGAAAGGTTTAAGGGCGGCACTTGGTCCAAGGTGGCCAAGGCCATTCGCGACTGCGAGTCGGTTCTCACGTGTGGGAAAGACGCACTGAAATTGAAAGGCGTGGGCAAGTCGTCCGCTGCTAAGATTGACGAGTTCCTCGAGACTGGTACGCTCGAGACGCTTGACGAGTACCGTGCGGGCAACATGTAACTCCGGTGGCTGCAGCAAACAGCCGAAGTGGAGTGTATCGCTTGGGCGTGACCCGTCGTGACGGGTACAACGGGTTTGTCGATAAACCAGCGAAAGATCAACAACAACAACAACGTGCAGCATCCGCCGTCTCGTCTTCTTGCCATTGGGTCGAGGTCGCTGACGAACGGTCTCTGTCTGCGTTGCCGCGTCCTTGTTCTTGCTTGCCCTTGCAACTGTCTTCGCTACGACTTGAGACTTAACGAGGTGTGTCATCGCATCTTCTTCTCCTTTTTCTTCTTCTGCCATTTGCTGGTCGATTCCTTGACCCCCAAAGGCGGTAGTGAGTTAGTCGACACCGTAGTCAACAGTCACGTACCTTCGCCAACAGTCAAAAACGGGTCGAGACCGACAGCACCGTAGACGCTTCTCACGCGAGAGAAAAGTCGTGCCCTCTCTGCAGTGCAGTTATTGGAGCTTTTGGCTGGAAAACAAGAAGAAGGAGAAGGAGAAAAGGACGACACAGCAGCGAGCGACGGAGGGAGCAGTGAGTCGAGAGAAAAGGCGCTCGCGCACTCTCACATTGCCATTGTCAGTGGTGGGTCATTCATTCAGCCAACTGACGCGACAAGCAAAGGAACGAGACGCGCGTTCTTTTTCGCTGACTGATTGGACTTCACGGAAGCATGCAGCAACGCGGCCAAAAGGCTCCAGCACCGCCTTCCAGTAGCACCCAATCCACCACCAAGACGCGGCCCCCGTTCGCTACGAAGATGGCGCCGCACGAGTCAGTTCCGCTCCGTGTTAATGTTCCGCCGCAACCCACTTCCCCATCAGAAACCCACCACCCGCACTTGCCGGTTGAGCATCACCCGACTCGTCATGCGGGGGGTAGCCATCGTCCCACTTACAACACCAGTAGCAAAGCGAAGAAGCCGAGACACCCACCTGCTCTCTGTATAAAGTTCATGTCGGGCTATGGCTGTCCATACGGGGACAAGTGTCGCTTCTCCCATGATCTTCGAGCTATCTATCCCGTCTACCGCGAGTACGTATGTGTATCGGTCGGTTCTTCTTTGATCGTACGGTGGATAGACGAGGACTTACACGTGTGTGGTTGCTGTGTGCGTTGTAGCTCTGCTGGATATGATGACCCGATTGGGTCGACTGCTTACACCGTCATGCCTCGCGTTGCTCCTCAACACTATGGGCAACGACAGGTGCAGCATTCGATGCACTCCAGTCGGTACGTAGTAGTACATTGATCGGTCATTTCACCCCTACTCTATGGTTCGTGACGCCTATGTAGGTAGGCGTCGCCGTCGCTATCTGCATGGACCATGGCACGTATGATGTGCAAAAGAACAGTCAATAGTGATACTGTCGCTTTGTCTTCTTGTACAGGATACCTGACACCAGTCCCAACCAACGCTCTTTGTCGTTCCGTGGATCGCCGCTACAACGCGAGCGAGCGGCTTCGTTTGCAAATCACTCCAAGTCTCACGAAGACCAGTTTGATGACACCCATGCAAATAGGCGGTTTCCGTTCAAGGAAGCCGTTCTCAAGCAATGCAAAGGACCGCAACCTGAACGCAAGCACCACGACTCGGTTGCACACAAAAGTACTGGAGGGAACGGACGTGGCGACGAGAGCTGCTTTTCAAGCCGTGCGAAAGCGACGCCTGAAACAGAATCTGCCGACATGTCACTTGCGCGGCAGCGCCTGCACCGCAAGAAAATCTTGCGTCCGCGCAAGTGTGCGCCAATTGATGAAAAGGCAGACCCTGCACACGGCGATTCCGGTGAGCATCATCCCAACTCAGAATATTTGTTTCGTGAAGTCGGATGTGCCAATACTGCTGGGGTAGATTGTGCACAGCACGAAGCCCAACGACATGACCAGATAAGTCGTCGAAATCCTGCAAGAACATCACAGCTGATGTATCCGAGGATTCCATCGCACACTCGGTACTTGCTGGAGCAACAATTTCACAGGTATGGCAACTTGAGTTTCTATGCAAGCGTGCAGTACCTGACCCGATACTTTTGCCACCAGCAATATCAGCAGCCAGGTCGAATCTTTTGTCGATTACATCGACACAGGGCTGTCATTGACGGAGCAGCACAAACAACAGGCCATGAACTTACTGCAGGAGCTGGTGTGCTCGCTGTGGCCCGACGCTCTCATTGATGTTTATGGGTCAAGCTACACCCGCCTTGCTTTACCGGCAAGTGACATCGATTGTGTACTACTTTCGAGCTCGTTGGCAGGAGAGAGGCCTCTGGCGATCCTAGAGACCTTGGCGTCAAAAGTTGATCGACAGCCGTGGTCAAAACAACTCAAGCTGCTCAAAGGTGCAAAAATTCCGGTTCTCAAAATGACGAGTTCCCCCGACCCGACACAACCCGACGTACAGTTGGACCTTACCTGCGGTCACTCTGTCGGCCATACCGGTCTGAGTGCGCGCGATCTTATTTATTCATTCCAATCTGAGATGCCAGCTTTGCGACCGCTTGTATTGGTTTTGAAAAGCCATCTCGTCAGCAACGGTTTGTGCTGCATTACGGGATAGCGCTGTTATATCACTGACTCGTGTCTTGCAACTGTTTGTGATTGAAGACTTGAAATGTGCGTTTACTGGAGGCATCTCGTCATACGTATTGGTAGTCTTGGTGATTCGCTTTTTGCAGGTACGTGCATGTGTATTACCGCAGCCACACCCGTCTTGTCTCGCTGACACTAGTTCTTTGTTCAGGCATGTGGCGATGTCCACCACATATCATTCGTGAGCTCTAGCAGCCGCAACGTCCGGGGTGGAAATCGAAGAAGAAGCTACTCGGAAAATGTACCAGCGCCCGATATTCCAGAAGAGCTTGCTTACATTACCGGCCTCAGCGACCCTGTGGTGCATCCAAAATGGTGCTTCACGTTTTCGCGTGCCGGGCGTGTTACGTGGCGCACTGGTATAAGTAGCCTTCTCTTGCTTTTTCTGGAAACGTACACCACGTTTGACTATCGTCGGTTTGGCATCTCCATTGACAATCAAGGGTATGTACAAAGCCGCGAATTTTGCTGGGTGCTCTTGCGAAGAATAATATTGTGTTGTCGTCGGTGTTGCACGCAGAGAATTTTTCCTGCTTCCGCCAGATCAAGTGGTACCTCTGCAATGCTCCGTTGTGATTCCGTACGTCGCAGATCCAATCAAACCTGGACGAAGCATCTGCAACTGCTTTCGCATGCACGAGGTACGATGACAAGTTATTGCACACATGCGTCCCTCACTTGATCGGTTGTTTGACGCACATGTTCTTGCTAGGTAATTCAAGCATGGCTTGCGCTTTATCAAAACCTGGTCGCAGGGGTCCCAGTTGCAACTTGTGTCGGTCGAGACTTGACCCCTTGAGTGGGGGAACACTCTCTTTGGATGATTCAATGGTCGCTCTCGTGTCATGCCGATGTGCGAAACTTGCCTCTCCGTCGCCGGAGTGAAGGATTCGACGAATGGGGTGTAAGCGCATTCGTCGATGCCTCGTACCATGATCCTTCGTGCAGCACGACTTCCTTTTCCAAAATTGTCGTCGCTCGAATTGTTGCGCGTCTCGTGCTAGGAAACGCTACAGCGATCTCGATGCCAATAAGTATTGCTTTAGCGGAAGCAAAGCTAGACCAGCGTTTGCTGACGAAGGCACGATCAGCGATGATTTACTAATACAGCGTGGAGAGCTGTATAAGGCAGCACTTAGTCTGTATGAAACTGAGTTTCGATGGCAACAGCAGTCGTGGTCATATCTAGCGAGTACTTATGGCTTTCCAATTGAGTGCAGTTGAACCACAATCTATAAAACTTCAGCCGAATATAGAATTTCATAAAGATTTCTCCAGTCGCTTTCAAATCGGAAAGCCACAAACTGTCTTTTGAGCGCACTCAACGTTTGAGTTACGTCATAATCTTGACAAGATGTCATGCTAATGTGTGTGGCGCATGCCAACACTTCCACCCGGACAAGTGGTACGGACCGTTACTATTGTAGTACGCAGAGTACCCCGAAGAATCTCTGTGACTTACTTTGCTTACAAAACTCCCTCCAATTACATAGGATTGCGGTCGGTGCGTTGTAAAGCTTGAGCGCTTTTAAGCACAATCCTGCCGACCGTAAGCGCAGTTTCTGCACTTAAACCACAACACCACTTGACAGTCAGAGTGCCATTTTACCGTGCTCGTATATTTCTTATCAATGCTCATGTAGATTGTGAAGTGTGACTAAAGCAGAGATGCCGTATTTGTCGGTATCTCTGATGTAGCACCACTTGCCTCGTCCTACACATCTTTGCTACGCCTTTTTACCTCATAGTGACATGGCCTCCCTTAGTCTCTCGACGACAAAGACGTCTCGCTCTTGGCCTCTGACGCTGCTACACACTGGCGAAGATGTAGCAACAATGACAAGGACAATCAGCTATGTTGGGGACGTACCGAGGGCTCATATGCTGTCAAGAATCCAATTGTACGCCGACGTTGTCCTTTGGCGGTGCACAGGACCGATTTAAAATCGCGAGCACTGAGGTCATCACCTCTCAGCGTCGAGTCGGAGCGTATTCATACATATCTGCAGGACAACGTGACACTCGATCGTAAGTACGAAGCGGCAAGAGTCGCAAACAGCTTCGGCCACGCCAAGCTCTTACCCCTTCACCAGCATATCAGCATCGAATTATATCACACCGTCTGCTGATTCAAACGATCATAGGCGTCTACACAATTCGATCGCATATATCGTACCACATTTGATGCATGCAGCGTAAAGATTGCACCATTTATGAGGCCTTTCGACAAAACAAAACGCACTTAGTGCCCATCCCCTTCGAGTCTCCGGCGGCAGTTAGTTGGCAAGTTCATGACGAAGCGTTTGGTGCTGACGGGCGTAGCGGCGGCCGCCGTCGCGGTCGGCAGCTATTACTGCAGCCACATAGTGAGCCGTCGACGTGGTGGACGACCACCACGTCACGTCGCTGGCCGTCTCGCAGCTGCACCGCTTCAGTATCGACGAGAGCTGCAGCTGTCCGGCCCGTGGGTGGCGCTGTGTGGCACGGCGTTTGACGTGGCCGGAGACCCGTTCTTTGACGCCACGTGCGCTGGCGTCTACAGCTCGTGGGTCGGCCATGACGTCACGTTCTTGATACTGCAACTGGGGCTCGTGACGGACGCTGCAGACGACGCCGAGGCGACCGCGAGTTACGTGGACCGCGAGTGGCAGTTGGAAGCTCTGCAAGGCGATGACGAGGCGGCGAGACGCGGTCGCGAGCTGCTGCACGAGTGGTTTGCGCGCTTTTGCTCGCGCTATCGATTGGTGGCACAGCTACGTGACTACTATGTCGGTGTCCACTGGGACGCGCTGAGAGCAGAGTTGCTGCCGTCGGATTCTGAATCGCGTCCAGTTGGTGGCAAGTGCCCGTTGGGCTTTGGAGCAACGATGAAGAGCAAGGCTGTCTCGTACAACGAGGACGACGGAAAGGAGCTGAGAACAATCACGTTCCAAGGACGACTGTATGATGTGTCACGCATGAGTTTGTTTCATCCGGAGAGTGGCCGATTTGCGCATTTCGTTGGTCACGATGTCACGTATGCGCTCGCGATTCAGTCTGTGCGAGTGGAAGACTTGGATGTTGTGCCCGAGAGAACGTATACGTTTGCAGAACAGTTGATGCTGGAGAGATACCGGAGTTTCTTTGCGCGTGAGTTGGCGCTAGTGGAAATTGACAAAACGCAATGCAAAAGTGACGACGCTGGAACGAACGTGCTGGACCTGCATCAACTTATTGAGAACAGTAGCGGCATAAAAAACGAAGAACGCGTGCTATGCCTGAAAAAGACGCTGGAGAGTGCGAGTGCGAAGCACGTGAATGCACTGTGTTCTCGCACTGCAATGACTCCTTTGCACAAGGCTGTGGAAAAGAACCGTTTTGATCTCGTGAAAGTGCTGCTCGATGCCGGAGCAGACATTGAGGCACGTGCGGCCCTATACGACGGCGAGACACCGTTGGAAATGGCCTATCGATTCCATTTTGACGACATTGCTGCTCACCTCAAGGCTGTTTCGACAGGTGGCGATTGACCATCGTTTATTATTTGCTTTATTAAAAGGGCCGACCAGGTTCGTAAAGATACGTCGGCATAATGAAACAATTTGTTGTCGAAATGACCCACTGACACGCCATTGCTGTATGAAGTGACGTAATTTGTTCACGTTAGTACTTCTGTAACCTTGGTGCGTCTTCATCCACCGCCTTTTTACTTACAATTTCCCAAACAGCGTCGCAAGTAGTTGTCGTCGCTTATCCAACGAGATCTACAATCTGAATGAAGTTGGAGCGGTAGTGCAAAAGCACTTCGTCCGCCAGGCCTTCATCAGTCCTACAGTCGTTTACCGGTTTGTAAAAGTCTCCTAACAGGATGAAGATTTCTATTCCTTCACTATCACCACAACTCAGCTGCAAAGCGGGAGTGATGACTTTTGTGCAGATGCAGATACACATACACAGTGCTCGCAGCAAAAGCAACGATTGGTTGTTTGTGTCATACCGCATCGCGCCGGTGTATATCCGATGTAATGCTCACCGTTTGTCTGATGATGCGCGGTCGTTAATGGTCATTATCTCTTCTCAGGTACTGTGTTTAGTGTACTCGACTCCTCTGCTTTGGTCTATCAACACCATTCCAAGTTTCATGTTTTTGTACCGTTGATCTTGTCACTAACTGGTATGAAAATGATGATGCTTCTTTGACGTCACCCCCCCCGTTTCTCTCACGGATGCCGGTCTTGGCAAAGCACTTGAGCATGTATCAGCATTAACAAGTCGGCAGAGCCAGATCCATATATCAATACCATATAACTTGTTGACCGCCATTGCAACTGAGTACCGCCGCCAAAGTCAAACAAGCACGCCACCCTATATCTGAGCAACAATCGTGATCTAGCATAATACCCAATCGCTCTGCAATGGAGTCGTCAAGTGATGGATCACTGCATACCCCATGAATCGTAATTCGGCTTGTATCTAATCATATAAGCTTATTTCTATCGACTACCGAATGATCGACACTCGCAGCGCAGTCGCTCCGTCATTCATCAATGGCATACTTGCATCCACCAACAAGATCTGCCGTCGCTGTCGGTTCCAACAATCGAACACATATAAACCTGCACCCACTAGTGTTATATAGCAAACTTTCCAGCATTCCAACGGCTGCCATAGTCATTAAATGTACGATTAAGAAAAAGATCGGCTAGCTCCAGTCACTGGAACTGCTCATTTTTGCAAGGTCTACCGATTCAGACGCAACACGGTGACTTAGCCGGTTGTCGGAGCTGACATTGCGTAGATTTTTGTCGGACCAGTACGGACTAAGCACTCACACGCACCGAATCACGAGCAATGCACCGCACGAAAGACAAGGTCACTAGCACATGAGTGGTGAGCTTGGCGATCGGACACGGTGTCTCAGCTATTGATAGAAGGCTGTGTTAGAAAGTGAATTTTATGTAACGAAAAAGACCTGTATTAAAACGCGCGCCAGACGCGTTTCGCCACCCCACCCGCCAGGGGCCTCGTCAGTGGCTTGTCAAAATACAAGTGAGAACTACTCAACCTATATTTTGTGGTGCCTAATACAACACATAGATTCTAAAGAGCATTCCATATATGCCCTAGCGTAGGTTGAATATCTGGAGTCGATCCAGGTGCGACTTGCACTTTCAACACTTCCCCTCGACGACATGAGACGAAACTCGCTTAAACATCCACCGTCCGTACCTTCCTGTCTTCTCTACAGGCTCCAATGGGGCTGTCCACCTTCTCTTCGGCCAACTTCCTTGTTGCTCGCTTGGCCCTTGGCATTGATTAATTGCCTTAAGGCGTTTTCGATGCGGTCATTGGCGTAAGAACGCTTGCTGTACAATGTCAACTATTGCAGTCAGGCACCTCGAGCGTCGATACCTATCGTGCACGAGTGAACTTGATCCTCCCTAATGCATATGGAGGAAATGAAAGTGTCGGTAGAGGCTATCGTAACGCTAATATGGATGCCTGCACTGAACGACAATGTACATTGCAGCGTTGGCACACGTCGTTGGTGGGACGTACTTGCTTACCTGCTCATTACTCCGAGACATGCAAGCGACGGACATGATACACAAGTCAACGTGTGCAGACCATAACTCAGCTGCTGAGTTCATCGAGCGCAAGTAAATACTGACGTCGAGATGGTTAACAATCCAACGACCCACCACCATGCATGCATATCGATATCTGTACCTTCATTAATAGACGCTTTGTACGTAGAGCACATTGCATCGTCTAGATATCTCAGTAGAGCGTATTATTTTGCTGAAAAATGTGGGTAGTTTGAAAGTGGATTTAACGAAGCGTGTCGTGTGTTGTGATGTCCTTTGCGTTTTACACACGCAGTCAACTTGGCAAGCACTAGAAATGGTTGCATAGTGCCTTCTTTTGCGGATACAGGCGCGACGACACAGCAATCACACCTCTGTGTACAAAAAGCATCTATACTTGCTGGCGTCCGCGGATGGCAAGTATAACATGTTGCTGGTTCAACTGATGCCGGTACTTGTAACGGGGCAGCCCGTTACATGGAAATTGTCATTAAAGAAACAATGACAATAAAGAATATTAAGTTGAATATTCTTTAAACAATATCACCAATGGTGGTGATATTGAAGGGTCGACCAAAGAGTCTGCTCATTGGTTGATATCTTGACGATATCAACCCACCAATCGCCGCAAGACGCGCGCAATGATTGGTGAGTAGACGTCGTCATACATTTAGTTATATTAGTTTAATTAACTTAAGCCAAACAGAGAGACAGTGGATAAAAGACTTAATTATATTAATATAACAGTTCTGCTTTTACCTTAACTACGCTTCCTCGCTTGCCTTGTGTACGTCTGTCGGGGCACCGATACCCTTGCGTTAAGTTCACGCAAGGGTGTGCCCCGTTACAATACTTTTACATCAACTTTTGAAAAATTTGTTCTTCTACGTATACGTATGCTATCCTGGCTCCTCTATTGTCCGGACCGTGTCTCATCTTGACATCCTTCATTCTTCGTCGACCTTACTTACTTGTTCCCTCTTGCTCCTGACCACTTCGATACCACCACCACCACACTTCACCCAACCTTCACCTTCAAATGCAGAGCTTAGTTGTCCCTTTCGTGAACGCAAATAGCGACTGCTTGCCCACCGTGCGCTTGTGTCAATCTCCATCGTCGGACCATGTCCTATCGCGACGTCATGGACGAATTTGATCCCAGCGCTCATCCCGTGTACAACGCAGCACCAACCCGAAGCCGCTTGGGCTCATAACCTGTACGTTGTAGAAGGCTAATTGGATTCTGGCTTTCACAACACAGCTCACCGCGCTCGCTTGCTCTCCACTGCCACTCATGCAAACTTCTCACTGCGCTCGCACCATACGATCCTACAGGCGACTGCTTACACCACGACATCGCAACTGCTCGCAGCGTCGCACACGCCATCGTGACTGCTCACTACGACGAATCATGCCGTCGCGACTGCTACCGTACGTCGTCTGCTTCTCTCTTTCTCGCTACATACTGGAACTCAGTGTACCCGATACTGACCTTTTGCATCTTCAATGCGACTCTTGCGATCATGCATTCACACAAAGCGACTTCTTCCAACACTCCTCCTCGGGTACCTGCGTTCTCACCTCTTGTCGTACTAGCCGACACGAAGCAGCCCTCATATCGTCGCCATCTTGGGCGGATCGACCACCTTGGTGAGAAAGTCTGCCAGCATGAGTTCTGAGCGCACGTGCTGAGCCTCGATCACGCCGCGACGAGCGTATTCACAGAGAAACTTCAATCGGACGTCGATGTGTTTCGAGTTATTTGATGTCGCTTCACCGTTGATCTGGCAAATAGCGGCCTGATTGACGATGCGCATCGTCATTGTACTGCTGGTTCTATGCCGATCCCACGCACCATTTTAAAAATTCCCAGCATCTCTCGTGCCACTTCAAATGCAGCCGCGAGTTCAGCTTCCATGGTGCTGAGCGTGACGCCACCTTGCTGCTTTGCGCACCAGCTCATAACCATACCGATGAGTCGCACAACCTCGTTGGTGATAGACTTGCGATCCTGTTTGTTGGCTGCAAATTCTGCATCACTGAATGACTCTAGCGCCGTTACGCCGCCCGCGTCGCGCTCTGGCACCATCTCGATCTTCAACGCGATCGTCCCCTTCAAGTATCGTGCGATCCGCTTGCCGAGTTTCCAGTCGAGCACGCGCGGATGGTGCGTCTTTCGTGTTGCTGTATGTACTGCAAACGACACGTCCGGTCGCGCCCATCGTATGATCCATAGTGGTGAGCCGACTAGAGACTGGAACGAACGGATCGTCGCGTGCTTGCCTGCGTTGTTGGTGTCGAGTAGTTCGCTGCCAGCATCTTGCACCTCGTACACGTCTGCTTCAATGGGAGAACATGTGGTATTCGCGTCGCATAATCCATGCCCTTGCAGCAACGACGATCGCCTCTCTTGGTCCAAAACGTAACTACCACTTGCGGTCTGGTTCACACGCATTCCGAGGAGCTTCGCAACTGGACCGAAGTTCTTGATCGAGAGGCACTACATCACGTCGAAGAAATGCTTGACAACTGTAGTTAACGTTTCAGTGACAAGTTTGTCGCCGACGTAGACGCATGAAGTCACGATCTATGCGTCCACACGCCTGTAGTATAAGCAGCTGTCACTGATGCACCGCATGTACTCGCCTTCGACGAGTCGCTGATGCAACAGCTGACTTTAGAGTCGGCCGGCCTGTTTAAGGCCATAGAGAATTTTGCGTAGCTCTAGAGCCAGGTTCTTCGTGCTCATGACGCCGAGCTCGCGCATGCGCTCTGCTATCACGTCTATGCCGATCGAGACGTGCAGTAAGATCTCGAGGTACGGCGTCTTAGACGCTTTGACAAACGCATTCGGTATGTCAACGTGCTAAGCCGGGACACCCCACGTCACAGCAAGTGCCAAGATCACTTTCACTATGACATATCCATGACCGCAGCAAAGGTCAAGAAGTAATCGACTCCCAGAACTTCCTCGTTGCCACAGGCAACCAAACGGGCTTTGCGACGTCCGAGATCACCGTCCGCGGTCGTTTCGGTCTTAAAGACCCACTTGGAATTCAAGACTTTGCTTCCACTCGGGCGACGGACAACTGTCCACACTTCGACGGCCTCGAGAGCCGCGAGTGCCTTGTCCATCACCTTCTTACAGTTCAAACACTACGTGCTCTTAATCTTTTCGCGGTAGCTCTTCGGATCGGGTTTGAAACTTGACTCACCACTTCGGTGCTGCGAGCAGCCTCGTCCTGGCTCGTCGCGGACTTCTTCGACGCTGCACGTGTGGCGATCGGTTGTCTCATCCACTCGCGCTTCTTCTTTGGCTTCTTGCCAGACGCCTTGTGCTCGTGTTGCACCGCATGCACTGGCTCTTGAGCGTCACTGCTGTGGAGAAGCACAGAGAAAGAATGATGGAAAGGTGAATCGTGCGAAATGTATTAAGTGCGAATTGAATTTGATAGGTGGAGCGCGCTCGGAGATGGGCCCGTTGGCACGAGGAATGTGTCTAAACGACTGAGTGAACGAAAACGACTGTTGAAGTTATGCGGATTGATTTACCTAAAGGTCAAGAAGGAGCACAGTCAAGGATCGACGATTGACCAATCACGATCGCGACCAAGGGCTTGGATCACCAAGCTACAGGTACCGGATAACTCGAGAGGTGAACAGCATTTGAAATACGTGGTCGATAAGGACAATGGATAATGGGTGAATATGGAAGCCGGATGGAGGAGTGGATCGTCAAAGTCATAAAACATGCGAGGTCTCATAAATGACAGCGATCCGACGGTGGATGCCCAATCAGAGACTCGAGAAATTCACCACGATCTATTATGGGTGTGTAAATCTTGATTGTATGAACGAATCATGATTGCGGACCACATACCGCGATCCACTACTCGAGCGATCCGCTACAGAGCGATCCACTACGGACCGATCCGCCACTCGAGCATCTGATGTGGACCATATGATGCACGAAGATAATAAATAGACAGGCGATATGCAACAGTAATATAGCGAACAGATATGCATAGTAATAGGGTTTAGATTTGGTTGGTTGGCATTAAACAGAAATAAATTTGCAACAAAAAAACACGTGTCGACTTCTCCCGGGCAGGATATTTGGCCTCCCGTCGAATAGAGAGTAACTTGCGTCTCTGCAAACTTCGCCTTTGGATTGTGTGGCAAGGCGGAACGTCAATTGTCACCCCCAAACCGTGATCGGACGCAGGAAACCTAACTGTTTAGATTCAAGATCGTGAGACGGCTCAAGTGGTTGAAAGGATTGCGCATCAAGCATCTCCCTTGGATAAAGGCGACTATGGGAGAGCGCCCAAGTATACACGCGATTGTGTGAGGAAATTTCTACTCGATCCACCGCACGTTTGACCGGGTAAAGATTTTCCACCCGATAAACATCTACCCTAACACGGTCAAGTTCAGCCTCGACATAAGTCCACCGAGAAGAGCGCGCCCGCTCCACTGACGCGTACAAAAGGATAGAAAGACAACACAGAGCATGGAATCAGAGCACTCCCTCCTTTAGTCGGTCACCCGAGCGCCAGTGGATAGTCGGTATCTTCTCATAAAACGAACGATCACCATATACCACAATGCTGGTGTTCGCGTCTGCAAGGTTGTCGCTTTCGAGCGCGCTCTGCAGCGGTGCTTTTGCGCTGTTATTGGTCTGTTGTGTGACGACAACAATGTTGTCCTTGCGCAAGTAAACACGGAATTATTATGTCTCGTGGCGTCGACCAACGATGGTGTCGACTTGGGCGCGATGCGCAAACAAATCCTTCCGTGGATCACGATTCACTGTGCATAGCAAACCAACGACGACCATCTCGCGTAGATCTGGAGCTCGCTTCGTCAGGACTTCAATTGGGAATGCTCGCTTTAGGTTCGCGCTCGTCGGGCTTATACTGAGAATGTATGTCGCATACTCAGCAGAGTCTCTCCTGAACATTAAAGGCAGTCCAGACGCAAATATCATCGCCCGCAATATTTTTAACACCGTCCCGTGCATACTTTCGAATTTGCCGTTGGACGCCTGATTGCGAGCCCCAACCAATGGGCGAACGGCACCAGTCTTCTTGCAAGATAAGTCGACGTTTTAGTACTCTCCCCGCCGTCTGTGCGCAACACAAGGACCTTGCAATTGAACTCTCGCTCAACGAAAACGAGGAAATGCTCGACTTCTTTGCGGCCACATCCTTGGTCTTAGCTATTTAGATGCGGCAATAGTTACTCTTATGATCGACGAAATTAACCCTATACCGGTTCCGCAAGCGATCAGCCGGTGGCAATGGCCCTTTGAGATTGGGTCACGTTACTCCACCGCCACAAACAATTGGAAAGTGCGCGCCGGTGTCCTTCTTCATTTGGCTGTTCTTCGTTTGATTGCTCTGAGCACACTTGATGTACGTCAAACACCTGTGATCCGTGATGCAAATGCCACTGCTCGGGCTCTTCGCGATCCTCTCGATCGTGACATACGACATATTTCCGAATCTCTGGTGGATATTCACGAGCGTCGCTTCTTTCACATCAGGCGACACATCTGCCGTCAAATCCTCCTCAACCGCAGCAAAGATCACGTCTTCTGGCTTGATCCCGCTGGACGTCTCGACGACCAGAACACTATAGTGCATCGTCCCGTCAAACGCAACATGTCCATCCGATCCGTACGGCTTCACGCCCATCGTCCGTGTACGTGAGTGTGAACTCAAGATGCTCGATCTTCCTGTAGCTGATGAGATTACGCGCAAGACTTGTCGATGAACAAATGTCCGACAGCTCGATCTAAAGCTGCTCGCCGCGTGCTGTCACAAACAGGAGGGCCAGTCCAACCTTCGTGAGCACGAGCTTCGTGTTGACAGCAAGAGAAATCTCGTCGTTGTACTGCTTACTGTCGATGAGTAAACGATCGTTACTCACGATGTGGCGGCTGGCACCGCTGTCAAGGATCCAGTCGGTGCTCGCATCTGCTCGGCTGTTGTTCATTTCCAGCAGTAGCACATCTTCGTTGTCTTCTTTGTCCTTTTCTCCTTCTTCTTGTATCGGCAGTCCATCTGTAAAATACCCCTGATTCTTGCAGTCATGGCACGTGCGCGTTTCCTTGATCTATGTCGAGTCAACGACGATTGCGACGGCCTCGCGACCCAGTGACTTGCCGACACGACTGTCGACCTCGAATGATTGCACAAAGTACGCAAGGACCTCCGCTTCGCGCAAGTAGCCGATGAGGTTTACGTTTAACTTTGCTATGAGCACCGGCGACAGATCCGCGGACGCATAGTATACTATGTTGTCAAGTACCCGCGCTTTGGCGCCTTTTCTACACGTGTAGCTCACTGCAACCATGTAGAGACAGTATTCAGGCCACGAACTATTCTGATCATTCTTGGACGTGAACAGCTTCATCGATTGCGACGCTGTGTCGTCGTCCAGAACGCTTAGTACATGCGCTTCGTGATGTGGTTGAGCGTCGAAAGCTACTCCTATCTAACATCTACATGCTTATTGTAGTATAGCTCGGCTTTTCCGCCAAGTTGATGCCCGAAGTGATCAAATTTGACATATGTAGCCCACGGAAAGCCGCACGCCGACTGTTAGAAGTTCACCGCACGGACGAACGATCGGCATCAGTCATGAAAGCCAGCACCATTTACTTGCTACGATTTGAAGCGCCAAACTTTTAAATTCACGAGCTTTCGCAGACGTGCTTCTGGTGTCCGATTCCCTCGCAGTACTGGCGCAGGTGCAGCGACCGGTGCTGGCGCTGCCTGTTGTTTTATTAGCGCATACGCTTTATTCACGTAGACTTGTTGCATCGCCGAAGCCTGCTGCATCACTAAGTCTTGTTGCTGATGCTACGGTGGCGGTAATCGCAAACCTAACGGCTCGAGCAACGATAGTCCCATTGCCTGGACTCGCAGACGTGGCTACGGATCTGTTGGCGGCTCAAGCGATCGTCTTGGCGGCAGTAACCCGAGTGCTTCGCGGTTCATTGGTCCTCCAACAATCCTTCTGCCGAGAGAGGAGTCAAACAGTCCACTTTAAATAGACGCGCGCAGGCGCTTGTTCTCATCGATTTGAATCTGCAACATCTCAAATCTGTCCATACGGCTCGTCATATTCTCAAGATCAGTGATCATCCGTGCGCTAATTTTTAAGTATACGCCCCTTGGTGAATTAAAGAATCGATAACCATCACAGCCGCAGGCGCAGCTGGTATAGTAGGTGGCGAAGCGGCGTCTGCAGATATTGGTGCGGCGTCCGTTTCGTGACTGTCGTCAGCAACGCGTGATGCAGTGCTTGACTTGTCGATTGGCCGCAGCCAGACATTGGGATTATAACCAGTACGTTATATTCATTATAGAAAGAAAAAGATCTGTATTAAAACGCGCGCCAGACGCGTTTCGCCCCCACCCGCCAAGGGCCTCGTCAGTGGCTTGTCAAAACACAAGTGAGAACTACTCAACCTATATTTTGTGGTGCCTAATACAACACATAGATTCCAAAGAGCATTCCATATATGCCCTAGCGTAGGTTGAATACATGGATTCGATCCAGGTGCGAATTGCAACTTCCAACGCTTCGTATTTGACATTCCTGGAAGCCGTCTTATCACCCTTCAGCATTCGCGCAATCCGTTTCTATCATTTCGCGTAGGCACACGATATCCGAGACCGAGTAATCCGAAATCTATTATTTGTCAATCTAACACAGATATCTAAATGGAATGGTAGTAGAGCGATATCATAGAGTGAATAGAATATCACAAGGTTGAGCCTATATGATGTATCAAACATAGTGTACTAAAGTCTTGCTTGATATCACTACACATACAGGGTCACCCCGTCACATGTTTTGAGATTTACCGAATTTTAAATTCGGAATATCATCTTGCATCTGATATTTACCAGAAAAAATGATGTTCAATACCATTACGAAAAGATAAATGTCGCCTCACAAAATAGAAAAGTAATAAAGACACGTGAGACGGAACCAGTTCAACCTGATCCACATGGTATCGAAAGCAAAAATTGCTCTAGTAAAGAAAATAAAACAGAGCTACTACAGTAGAACCTGTTCAAGATAAAAAACCATGACGAATGTCTGTAATAATTTGGACATAATATCAAAAAAGAGTGCCATTCATTAATTTATTTTTTAGTCGCCACAATGGCTTTTGCTATTGCGGAGTGAGTGGGCAAAGGCGATGTTTACAGGCAAAAGTCCTGGACGCCTATAACGTAAACACGACCATATAATCCCTAGGCCTGACTGTCTACATCAACCACAGCCCCTGAAATTTAAAACCCCTCCCTACTTGTTCCTGTAGGACCGAACGAACTCGCAAAGCTTTTGCGATACGTACCGTTTACGCGGGATGGCAGCAACCACAACCGCAGTTTTAGCCAAAATAACTACTACAACCACAATGAGTTAAGATGTCCACCAATAAAAACATGATCAACAAAGACGGATTACCCCTTGCGAGCGCAAAAAAAGCATCCTTTGCTTACGCAAGCAGACTTGACCAAGTGGCTTTAGGAGAAGCATGACATTTCTATTAGTCAGATAACGATTTCTCTGAAGCTCAAACGCTAAACTGAAATCCTATAAAGAAATTCAATGTGAAAAGAGCGGCAAAGCGGCAACGAACCGCGAAGTAGTACTCACTGGTAAAGCAGCTCCGTTCCAGTTGTTCCTTAAATACCAGGACCAAGTCAATATTTCAGGTGACCTTACCAAAGAAAAGGCTGTGCAATTTATGCTGAGCTTTACCCTGGCCATGGGGACTTTAAGTTCTCAAATGGATGGCTAAAAAAATTTATGATTCGCCACAGCATCAAGTCCTACCGCCGCATTAAGCAATCTCGGACAATTAACACGACCGTGATTGAATAGATCATGCCGAAGATTCACTTGACTTTGGATAGGCATGAGTCACTTGACATCCACAACATGGATAAAACTGGATTGTTTTGAAGAATGCAGCTAAGTGCTGCTTGATTTGCCCACTGTTAAATTTTCGCTTTAATTCACTTAGAACTGAGGTCTTAACAGGCGAAAAATCCATTGACCACAAAGCAGCTTAAAGGATGCAATCAAAACCAGAGACGTCTCACGTTGGCTGTGTGCTGCAATTCTGACAGTTCAGGCAAGCTTCCACATCTTGTCATTGGCAAATACGAAAACCCTCGCTGCTTTAAAAAAATTCCTCGAGACTGGGGTAAAGCGACGCCCTATATTTTATTGCTAAGCTGAGTGGGGCGCCGAAAGATCGCCGGCGTCAGTTAATTTCAAAAATGATTTTTAATTAAAAGAATACGAGAAAAGACGGGTAGCTCACGAACGTGTATTATAACGTACCAGATCGTGACATCGTTTATGACAAGGGTGTGATATGTGGTGCCAATGAGGTAGTTACGTAATATGAAGAGAATCTCGATCCGATCTCGCGATCCCGATCCGATCTCGCGTGTCTGGGGTCAGATGTGTACAATTAGGGTGTGGGTCACGCCAAGGGTCCAGAGAGAGCGCTTGGTGTAAGCCACGGATGTACAAAGGGACAATTTTGTAAGAGGGATACACATGGCCTCGAAAGTTCGTGATACAGATAGGCCGATCGTGGTGTTAGTTTTTTGAATTTATTCGGTTACCATAAAAAAGCATTGAAACTTCTACTAAGTACACGCGTCAATTTCTTCCGGGTTGGAAACTGTCCACCCAACGTCAAGATAGATTACATACTTAAAATCGATTGATATACCTGAATTGTTTGGACAGCGATCGAGGGCTATTAACCAAAATCACAATTGCGATTGGACGCAGCAAACAAGTAAAAGCGAAGGGTGCAAGATTGCGAGAAGAATCGAGTATTCAGAAGGCTCGCAATATCAAGTATTTACTATGGACAAGGAGATCTCGTGGAGATCAAGATGACTCATATTGAGCACCTTACAAGTAAATCCGTAATTGTGTAAAGTTTTTCACGTGATATCACCAGTACCAAACACGGTCAAGGTCAGCATTGAATCAATAAAACCTGGAAGAGTGCAACCCGCCCAACCATGCAGTAAACAAGATGATCACAGTTTGCATCCCATAACTAGAGTACTTCCTTCGTTAGTTGGTCATTTGGGCGCCAGTGGAGAGTCGGGATCGGCTCCTTAAATTAGCGATGGCCAATACACCAAAATATCATCTCTCTATGTATCTACTTCACAAGGGTCTCGGTGAGTAAAGATATTCGGGAGTAAAACGCGACCTGACAACATATTCTGACTTGATCGCCACCCGATTAGTCGCCACAGTACTAAATGCAACTCTCACTTCCTTTTTGAGCCTGTACGCTATAAGAAGAAGTTTTAAACAACGATTGAAATTGTAGACAGTCTGGTTTCCAGAAAAATGCAAGCTAAAGCATTCGCCACCAGTCGTGCACGAAACGGGTACCCCGTGAAATGGCTCCAATTTGACTTGTTTTCTCTAACTCGATAAAACATTTTTAGTTTATGTTGTGAAGCTGAAAATGTGTTTATAAAACCCGCCTCTGATATATTTTTGATGTGATGTTTATATTTATCTATTTCTTTATATTTATATTGCTGTATAAAATCTCCGGGCTCATCCAAAATCGTGCACTGTACTGGTCGTATACCTGATATGAAGTCACATTTTCAATAAAAATAGGGTTCCAGCAATACTCATTCATTCATAAAAATATCAAATGAAAAAACTAGTAGCCTGTCGTAGTGATTGATATAAATTAGCCTCTTTTAACGATCGATGTACCGTACGATATGACGATAACCTAAACCATGACTTCGACAAAGATTTAGCAGAGTAAGTGATCGTATATTTATATAAGAAACCGTGGTCGCACAGATGCAGGGTAGAGATGATTTAACCAGATCATGTCTAATATGTGGTGAATTTTCAAAGAAAAGAACATCGAATGAGTAAGCGAAACAATTAATGGGCATCAATGCCGAAATCGACACAGTTCAAATCAAATTTTCATTTAACTTTCATGTAGATGCAAAACTGAGAACTTAATGTCAAGTGGCTTATGATTTTCGATCTTTCCTTTTTATTTGCACGATTGATTCTGCGTAGATATCAATAATCACTACGCCTATTTCTATTATCGCGTGTTTTCACTAACAGCCTATGGATTACGTAGTAGCAGATACGCTTGGCCATAAAAAAATTGCACTTTCAACATCAGTAGTCGCGCGCATTGCATACTCCTGTTGTGTGTGTGTCTTACCCGGAGGGCCGTGGGGGCTTGCTGTGTTGATAATATTGGATGCTGGATTAGCGTTTTTGCACGCATATCGTGGTGTCCCAGTACTGCACCTTTGTTAAATATATTATTATAGTTTTTTTTGTCAAAGTATTATAGCTAA